TAAAAAAAAACTTAATATTATGCTGGTGAGGATAAAATGCCTCCATACCATCTTTATAGTCTGTAACATTTCTGCAAATCCTTTTTATTGTGAATATGTTAGAGTTTTTTTTATACAGAATGTAGCCAATTCTTCTTAACCAAGAACTATCATTGTAAAATTGTGAGACATTATCATATACTAATGTTTTTGGGACCAGTATCAAATCTTCTATCATTAACATGAACAACTTCAGGATTTTCAGAAAAAGAATAAATTAAAATAAGACAGTCTAACATTATATTACTATTTACATAGTCCATGTGAATGTAAGCCCAATGTTCTGTTTCTTTAGGCAAGGTGTACAATTTATTCTGTTGAAAAATTCTTTATTTCTGTACATTTTAGAAATTTGTCTTCCTAGTTTTTGATATCCTACTTTTGAGTACCCGGGCCATCTCTTTCTTTCTTTTTATGTGCCATGTCCTTTCAGAACGTAGGTGATCATAGCCCCCCACTCCACTCTATCCCTTGCAACTCTCAACAAGTTCCTTTCCTCTGCTTCCTCCCCCAGATCATGTTCTGTCATCCACTTGCTCAAGTCTGCCAGGTATGTCAAACGTTGTTTTCCCTTGTCTCTCTTTCCCTCTATTTGACCCGTGAGTATCAGATTCTCCAGGCCCTCCTTCCTCAATATGTGTCCCAGAAACTTCGGCTTCCTCTTCCTGATGTTAAGTATAAGCTTCCTCTTTGTTTGCAACCTCTCTAAGACCTCATCATTGTACACACTCTCGGTCCATGATATCCTTCTGTAGAACTACATCTGTTGCCTCGAGTCTCTTCTTCTTCTTTGAGGAAATCATCCAACATTTGCTGGCATAAAGAAGGACAGATGTCACATCAGTATTCTTTTCTTTGTTACCAAAAAAATCCTTCTGTCTTGCAATACTCTGCCCACCTTTTGGAATGTGTCCTTGGCTATCCCAATACATCTTTTAATCAATTCTGTATAGTTGTGATTCCACAATGAAAATCATTGTTCTCACCTTTTAATACAAACCTTTTCAAAAGTTTTCTGGTGGTACTACTAAGCTTTCTTCTTTTCTTCTTCTTCTTCTATGTGCCATGTTCCTTCTAGACATTGGGGATCATAGCTCTCAATTACCTGTCCTTTGTAGCTCTTAAAATAATTTATCTTTTCATTTTCTCTCCTAAATACAGTTCCACCATCCCTTTATACAAGCTCACTAGGTAGATTATGCATTGTTTTCTGTCCCTTTTGCCTTCAATCTTTCCTGTGAGTATCAAAATTTCCAAGCCCTCTTTCCTCATTATTTGCCCTAGAAATTTCAATTGTCTCTTTTTGATGTTACATATAAGTGTTTTTTTTTTGGTTCCATTTTCTCTAAAACTTTGTCATTGCTCATATGTCTGATCCATCATATTCTCAGAATCCTTCTGGAGAACCACATTTCTTCCATAGCATACGATACCATTTTTCATGGTTAACTCTTTATAAAGCATTTCAGCTGTAGAACACTTACTCCATGTGTTCCTTTTATATTCTTGAGGCAGAATATTGGATTTGTGGGTTATCTCCACATGGCTTTTGATGGGACACTTCTTGTTTCATCTTCTTCTTTCTCTTTTCCACCCAGTATTTTGTAGCAACAATTCCAACATCTTTCCCCTTAGTGACTGAACTTTCACGTGCACACACACACACACACACTCATATCACTCACACAATTCCTAACTTTTAATGTCTTATTTCTTTTGCATGCATACTCGTGTATTTTCTCTCTTTTTATTCAAGTGACATAAAAATATAAAATTCCTTCCCGTTGAAATTCATTCTATTGCTTTACACCCATCATTTACATATGTGCAATATATTATTGCCATTGCTTTTAGTCTAACTAGGTTTGTTTGTTTTGTTTAACGGCATTCCAACCTTAGTGGCTCCTTAAAACCGAAAATGAATTTCAGAGGCCATTATTTCTGTCAAAAATATAGTTTAACATTATTTTTCCAGGACGTTCTAACAAAGGGGTTTTTTTCAAAAAAATAGATGCAATATTATTTTTTCCAAAACGTTAATTTAGAGGTAATTTTTTTTTTAAAAAAAAAATCATCTTTTCAGGAGTTTTGTAAATTTGAATATAATTCCATTGAATAAAATTTTTTAATATAGTTCTAATATTTTTTTTTTTTTGCTTTATAGCTGGGAATTTATTTTTCAAAAACAAATGTTTAATATTATTTTTTCTTTTGGTGGCAATATTTTTTCCATAAAAATGAGTTTATTTTTCCAAAAACTTTGGTAATTTATTTTTATCTGCTGGTCTGTTTAACCTGCCATAAAAATTACTTTTTCCAAAAACCTTCTTAATCTAGATTAATTTTTAGACAAATGGACGATATCATTGGTGGGAGCCACCTAATATGTGGATGTGTTTATGGTGCCAAAATAGAGAATTTAATGAGAAATAGTGATAGTTATCTTTGTCTTACCATAATGATAGCAGCTGGCATGTGTTTTGATGTAAACTATCATTCAAATTTAATCGTCAAAAACATCATTGTAAACTGTTTTATTCCATCAAGAATCCTTTGCTACCATCCCGGGTTTTTTAACCTGGGAACATCCATATCTGATGGCCATGTCAAAATTATGCTGCTGTTGGTTGAGTTTATCGTCATACTCAGGACGTTCAAAGATATTGGTGGTGTAAAATAGATGATTAATTTATTTACAAGATTTAGGTGAATAATTAGTAGCTGCAAAAATTGATGCCAGGAGAGTTGTAAATTTGAATATAAGCTTTCAAATGCTTAATATAGTTTCTACATTTTTGCTTTCTTCTTTCAAGACTAATTTATTTTGGTCGAAGAATGGCCCAAATGACTTTCACTTTGAGCAAAAAAAAGTTAGGAAAGTGGTCTGTTTAACTTGAATTTTTAATTTCTTAATCTAGATTAAGACTAGACAAATCTATCATTGGTGGGAGCAGTTGACAAGTGCCTATGGTGAAAATAGATAATTTAATGAGAAATTATTATTATAGTTACCTTTGTCTTACCATAATGATAGCAGCTAGCATGTGTTTTGATGTAAACTATCATTCAAATTTGAGGAAAACATCATTGTAAACTGTTTTATTCCATCAAGAATCCTTTGCTACTCTTTTTTTAACCTTTGAATTCCACATCTGATGCCATGTCATATTATGCTGAGTGGTTGATGGCTGGGATTAACAACAAAGATATTGGTCCAGGTAAACATTTCTTTATTTACAAGAGATGACTATTAGTAATACTGACCAGAAGCTGTAATTTCAAATGAGCATTTTGACTATATTTCTACTTCATCTTCTAATTTATTGTAGCGAAGAATCTAGTAGTGACATACCAGGAGCAAAAAAGAGGAAAGAGGTATGGTTACTTGTTTTTTGTTACTTTCAATATAAAGTAAAAAAAATGTGACTATCATGGAAAAATGAATAAGGCTTTCATCATCAAAGATCTAATGCATCCCTACTGGACCTTAGAGCAGCCTATCTTTAGGGATGAGTCCATGAATACTTAAAGTCATACTAATTAGTGAAATAAGGACTAGACTGCAAATAAGGACATTAATCATCGGTGCATTGCTATCTTAGAAGGAAGTAGACAAGAAAGCAACATCTGTATACATTGATGATATTTACATCAATGAAAATGTTATGTTAGCAAAGAATCTAGAAGAATTTAGGGAAAAAAGCAATTTATTGTTAAAGAATAATAAAGATTATTGTTAAAAAATTGAAAACTTTTTAGAATTTAGGGAATAAACCAATTTATTGTTAAAAAAAAAGAAAACATTTCATAAGATTTTTATCCAAATGTAAACAATAAATTATTATTGATTACATTTAACTTGTAAACAGTAATTCTACTTTTGCATAGAAGCCTGTAGACTTGTAAGTTTGAACATAAGCATTTAAAATTTTATATAGTAACATTTTTTTCTTATGCAAATGTTAGATATTTTATCCACTATTTGTTAGATTTTTATTCAAATATAAACAGTAAATCGTTATTGATTAAATTTAATTTATTGTAAACAGTAATTCTACTTTTGCAAAGAAGCCTGTAGACTTGTAAATTTGAACATAAGCTTTCAAAATTTTTATATAGTAACATTTTTTTCTTATGCAAATGTTAGATATTTTATCCACTTTTACATTTTTATTCAAATATAAACCGTAAATCATTAGTGATTACATTTAATTTATTGTAAACAGTAATTCTACTTTTGCACAGAAGTTATGTTTGAGAGCAATAAGCTTTTGTATGCCTACCATTTTTTTCTTATACAAATGTTAGATTTTTTTTCTGTAGGAAAAAGAAAAATACTGAGCAGGAATTTCAGAATAGTGCTTTATTATAAAGATTCAAAAATCTCTAAAACTTATTCAATATGTCAAAGAGCAATGACTTAATGTTTGAATAAACAAATCTCATTCAAAGAAGAGCAAATTAGAGAATAAACCAATATATTGTTAAAAATTAGCAAAGCTTTCATAAAAGATTTTTATCCATTTGTAAACAGCAGAAAATATGAGCAATCATTATTATAACAATGTAAACAAACAAAAGAAAATACAATAGATTTATATGAATGTGTTAATATCCAAATTTACTGAATTAGTAGAGGTGTGTTCATTTCTTTCCAAATCAAAAAAGAAGAAAGAAAAATAGTTTTTGCATATTATACTCCACTTACTTCCACAAAGATCTTTTGTAAGTGAAGTAGACTTTGTCTCATAACCAAATGATTTTATAAAAACTCCCAGTATTTATTTTCCATGTTTTTTTTTTTTTTTTTTTATAAATACCCTCTTAAATAAGAAACCTTCAAGTTATTCAAATCATTTTTTCCAGGCACAATTTCATGATTTTATCAATCCAACTATGAATTAAAAAGCCAATTCTGGAAGCAGATTAAATACCAATCACCACAGTAGTCATTGTGAATCTTAACAGTCTGCCACAGGAAACTGGTCTTTTGACTTTTTCCATTCATTAAGAGCTTCTTCCAAAGTTTTAAACTTAAAATCAGGAAATTCAGTTCTGAAATGAAAGAAATTCAAATACAAGTGAGAGGAATAAAAAAAATTTGCATCAAAATTATATCATTTAATTCTGATTATTTAATGATAATTTATGGACAAAAGATGTAAGTAACAAGGAAACTGACATTTACAATCATAATCAGATAGATGAAATTTCTGGGATACATAATGAGTAAAGACAGCCTGGAGAATTTAACACTCACAGGACATACTGAAGGCTTTAGAAGTAGAAGAACACTGAGTAATCTACTTAAATGAATGGTAGAATAAAGATGGAGAGGAATGGTAAGGCACAAAAATTACTTATAGTAGCAAAATATAGAAATTTCCAGGATATATAATAAGGAAAGTGGGTGTGGAGAATTTAACACTCATAAGACAAGTTTATGGTAAGACAATTAGATGGAAGCAGTGAGTAAAACTTTGAATGGATGGATGGCAGAACAAAGGTGAAAAGGTATGGTAAGGCACAAGAATTACTTAGAGCAACAAAAGATAGTAATTTCTGGGACAAAAGAAAGATGACTTGGAGAATTTAACACCCCCAAGACTTGTTGAAGGCATGATAAACAGGAGAAAGCTGTGAATAACCTACTTTTATTGTTTTTGCATTTATGTAGCATTTATTCTCATGTTGTAATACAAATTTATTTTATTACTATACATAATAAATCTTTTTAAAGACCATCAGCCATGCTTACTTTTTAATATTCTACTGAGAAAAGGAGGGAAGGAACTGAATTTTCAATACACTTTTTTTAAAAAAAGTAAACTAACAAAAAAGTAACTAATAACATAATCAAACTAGCAAATAATATTTTATATTACTTGATTCAGGGATTGAACTCACAACTACCAGGTAACTAATTTTGCTTAACCGATGCTTTTATTCATTAGGCTATGTGATTTTAAAAAAATTCTAAGTTGGAAACTTGGAATGAGAAACTTGAGATCTCTTGTCTCCTCCTTCAACTGAACGAGAGTATATGATTTATATACTACCTGTCATGTAAATAATATAATTTTTGACACTTAGACCTAATATTATTTTTCTTAATTAAAGTCTTCCATATGATGTCCATTTCTATGCTAGGCTTACTGAGGAGGTTATTAGTGCCTAGAATGTTAGCAGATTCTTTAAGTAATCTTAGCTTCTTTTGTTTTTGTTTATTACTTCAACTTCATTTCACAGGTGTTATAACCTCACTTTTCTATCTACACATGATCAACAATGAGATTTCATTGTCTCACCCAGAATAAAACTTTCTTATGTTCTGCCATGGTTACATTTTTTTGATTTTAGTAGACATCTGGACACATCTTTATTTTTCTTGTCTCTACTGCATGGAAAAAAGTATAGACAATGTCATGTTTTCTTCGAGGGAAGGTTTACTTTGAGAGAGATGTCTCTGAAGGGTGGAACTACTACTGAATATTGTCCTAGTTTTTCAACATGCTTCTAATGTAAGAGAGAAAAACCACACCATTTTTCTGACAACTTATACTGCTGCTTGTGGAGGAGAATGTAAATGCTTGCAGAATGTTTGTTTAATCTAAAGTTTGTTTCTACTGCTGATCATTTCCTGTTGGTATGTGTTTCACTCATCATAAGAGTTTTACTTGATGTTGCAGGCAACAGATGATCATTTCTTCATGCTCTATGAATTTTAAAATTTTCATATATTCCCTGAAGAAAGCCAGTAAGCATAAGAGTCAAAATGTTGTAATACTAACAACAAAGATAAGGCTATTAGCCTCACTGTAAATAATGTAAATAATAATAACTTTTCAATCCCATAATATGTATCAATAAATTAAAAAAGAAAACATATATGAATTTAATCACATTTCTGTGGTAAATATAGATGATAAAATTTGGAAGTTTACCTGAATTTGTGGGTAGAAAGAGCAGTAAATTTCCCTCTTGGTGCAGGTAATTTTAACTCATCAGAACTTTTAGGAATCAACCATTTAGAATCTAATTTGAAGTACTCAGCCTGAAAATAATAATAATAACAAATATAATATATTCCTCTTGATGTTTATCAAACAACAAGTCCACTGTGTTAATCTCTATGTCTACTCTACCACAAGCCATTCACATCATTCTAATCATCAACCATTCTATAAGCACCATTGGATCATTATAATAACCCAATCAAATATTCTATACTATTCTCAGAGCATTTATAAGTATCATAAATAAAGTAAGAATAGCAAGTCAGTTTAATTCTCATTCATATATAAAAAGCAACAGCAAAACACATCTTCCTTCTTTGGTCACCATACTTAACATTATCTTTATTGGCAGTACAAACTGAATTTTGGAAGATTTGCTTAAAATGTTTTGCCACTCAATCTGTATTTGGTTTATTTGAAAACCAGGAAGAAAGAAATTCTCATTGGTTAGGAATTAAAGTAAGCATTATTAACTGATTAGAATATATGCTAAATTTATTTTACTATTTTTTGAACAATCAGATTTTTTGATTTTTAATAAATCTCTAATATCACAATGCCAATTTACAGGGTACACCTTCTATTGTATACCCAATCCTGAAATATTACTAACATAGCATAAAGACAATTGAATTAATGTTGTAGTGCCATGCCTACATCTCTTTAACTTTGATTGGTCGATTAATATATACTAAAAATAATAAGACAATTTATTGATCGCATCTCACCATACTGAATTTTTTCCTACAGTTTGCTCACAAACAAGTTTTGTTATAAAATCACCGATTGGTTCATTTTTCATCCAATCAGGTATTTTTCGTATACCTTCAAAAATATATCCTGCGTTTGTGCTGGGAGCCACTGATAGTAATATAAATTCAGATGCATTCCCAAATCAAGTAGTAGTTCCAGTACCACAGTAGAGTACAGAGCAGAGACAATAGATCTCAACTACTCACTCGCGTTATTCATTCTACTCACTCCGCACTTACACATACACAGATACAGAACCTGAATTTCATACAACATCAGTTCTATGTGAACAAACCAAGTTGAAACAACTCTGTTAGTTACAAAGACACAACTGAACAATCTTTCACTCTGAACTTTATATTCAGAAAACGCTGAACTTTATACTCAGAAAAACTTGCTTAAAAACATTTCCTAACAGATAAAGGGGAACTACTTTTTTCTCCTTATTCACACATTATACAACTACCTTGTATTTATTGTTGATTTTAATATATATGTTTATTCGTTGAAACAAATTGGTTCTTCATTGTTTTTCCTTGATATTTAAAAAATTATGTATGAATGTTAAATGCTTATTCAACACGCAGTCACATTTATCTACCAAGCAACATCCTAGATTGGTAACCTCAACACTTAAGAAAGCAGCATTCTACAATGTCATATATCTTTCCATTAGCAAACTGTCATGCAAGAAAGGCTTGTTAACCATCACTTTACAGTAACTTATGATATCACAATTTTGCATCTCATTGTGGAGTACTGGTTGGTTAGTCTAAGAGACTGATAATGTGTATGAATGATCCTCACTGTTATAACAAGCATATGGTTGTAAAGGAAAGAAACAAACAAGGATTCAAATTTTAATGTGTATTTATTTTGCTATTTTTGACCAATCAGATTTATTGATTTTTAATGAATCTCTCCTGATGCTTTAAACATAGAAAAAGTGCCTTGAAAATCTTTGTTTAAATTATTCCAACAAACAAATCAATACAGATGATGGTGATTGACATTGCATTTAAATTTTTGAAGATTGTTGGTGGTAGAGAAGCAAGAAACTGGAAGAGTATTCCACAGGCAAGAAGTGTGAGAGAAGAAACTATTAGAATAAAACTTACAATTATTTTAAGCAACTTCAACAATAAAATGATGAGACAAAGCTGTCAATCTTGTACTACATTTAAATTTATGAAGTTGAAGTACCAAAAAGAAAAGCTCATCAGAACAATTGCCATGAAAATATTTGAAGAAAAGGTACAGGGAAACTACATTATGGTGGTGAGAAATTAATTGAAGCCAAGATGCCAGGTTATAATTGTAGCTGCTGAATAATCAGTGATCATTACAAAGAATGTAATCTCCAAATGGCAGCAGAATATTTCCAATTCATGTTTTGCTTGGAAACAATGATATTTATTAGTAAGGTATTTAGAAAAGTTCATGTTTATCAAAGAAAACCATTGCATGATAGAGATGCCTGCAATTTTCAAAATTGTCGCAAATGAAAACAAATCTTGCTTTTTTTTTTATTTCATTTATGACACTGCCTTTTAGGAAAACTCATTTTATTTTAAATTTGTTAATGAACAATCTTACTTACAATTTTTAAACCCCATTGGTATTTGCTCATAACTTCAGGACCAACAATGTGGTAGATTCCAGAACAATCTTTCTTTATAAGTAACATCACTGCCTCACAAAGATCTTTGTTATATGTTGGACAAGAAAGCTAGAAAGAAAAATCAAGTAAAAATTAGTTTACTTTTATTTCATATTTAATAATAATAATAATGATAATAATAATGATGATGATAATGAGGATAATAATAATAATAATGATGATGATGATAATGATAATGAGGATAATAATAATAATAATAATAATAATAATAATAATAATAATGATGACAATGATAATGAGGATAATAATTATAATAATAATGATAATAATTTTTAATTTTTTTAATAAAAATGATCAGTGGAAAATGTCATGAAGCCATTCCTGCCCTTACGTCTGTGGTTCGGACTTGGAAGAAAATGTTTATACAACAGAAATCTAAGGAAATGATAGTGGTGATTATAATTAATAATAATAATAATAAAAAAATGAAGGTCCAATTATTGCAGTTTAGGTCCAAAGCCTCACAAACAAATTCTATCACTGTCACATTTCAAGGATGCAACTAACCTGAAATGCAGGATCTGCAGAAAATATGATAAAATTGTTGACCATATTATCTCAGGATGTCCGGAAATAGTAAATAATGAATATACCCACAACAAGATAATGACATATGTGCAATGGAAAATATGTAAGAAGCACAAAATCAAAACCACTGAGAGATAGTATGAGTACTAACCAGACAGAGTTACCCACCAAAAATGATGTAACTATCCCCTGGGACATGCCAATTCAAACTGACAGGAAAATAAATGCCACCAGGCCTGATATTATCATAAAAGACAAGAAATTCAGGAAGTGTATGTTTATTGACATGGCAGTACCATCTGAGAGAAACAGCTCCATGAAAATTATTAAGAAATTGTCCAAATTCAACAACCTGGAGATTGAGATTAACAGGATGAGAAGAATAAAGACTGAGATTGTACCAATACTAATCAGACTTCGGGGCCTTGTGAGAAAAGGAATGAACAATTTTACTAATAGTGTCCCAGGTAACATCAACATACAAGTTGCCTAGAAAGTCGCCCTACTAGAAACATCCTATATACTAAGAAAAGTGTTATCAATTAAATGACAATTCTACTATAGGGCCTAGGGACCATAGTTTGGACCTGGTTCTACAGGATACAAAGCAGGAAACATTACATACACAAATCATAATAATAATAATAGTAAAAAACGTGTAATTCTTTTTCTAAATTGCTCAATGGAAAGTGTCATGATGCCATTTCTGAACTTAGAAATGAGTACACATAAATGAGTACAAGTAAAATGAAAATAATAATGATAATAATAATGAGAATAATAATGATGACTTTAATAATAATAAATATAAATGTCAAAATATTTATGCACATTAAAAATGAAAAGATATTTGCAAAAAGAAATTTAAATTACAAACTTTTAAAAAAAATTATAGGGTGTGCTGAAATAATAATAATAATAATAATTTCCTTCCCAAAGTCAGTAATTTCGGAAAGCTAGAAAGAAAAATCAAGTTACAATTAGTTTACTTTTATTCCATATCTAACAATAATAGTAATAATAATGATAATGATGATGATGATAATGATAATAATAATAATAATTATTATTGTTGTAGCATACCTACAGACGATAATGAGTGTATCCCCATTCACATAAATACAGTAATAAATACTGTATGTTCGTCTGCTGTTGGAGATTCATTGTGGAATTCACTTGACTCACTTCTAGCAGTTGACTACTTCTATGCACCGCTGGTAAATCTTATATGTGTTGTTCGTGTCCTAAGTATTATCATTCATTACCAACGTTAGTACAATTATTCTATTTAGTAACCTTCCCTAGATTACAACAATTATAACAAGAATAATAGTAATAATGATAATGATGATGATGATGATAACAATGATGATTATAATCATAATAATAATGATAATGATGATTATTATAATGATAATAATGATGATAATAATAATAATGATGATGATACTGATAATAATAATAATAATAATAATAAATATAACTGTCAAAATATTTATGAACATTAAAAATGAAAAGATATTTGCCAAAAGAAATTTAAATTATAAACTTTTAAAATTTTGTGGTGTATGCTGAAAAGTTCTAAGCTCAATTTCCTTCCCAAAAGTCAGTAATTTAATGAAGAAATATCAGAAGTGTGATTTTAGGAAAGGGTTCAGGCCGAGAACATTTCAGCACTGTTTCATATTTTCATTCCATTTCCAAAAATAAAATAATCAGATTAGTCTTCAAGATATTTCTTTCCGTTACAAATAAAATTTTTCAAAAAGAAATTTAAATTATATATTTTTAAAAATTTATAATTAATTCCAGTTTGTAGCCACGAGAATCAACAGAAGAGGATCTTAAACATGCCCTACTGATACACAAGAAAGACAAACATCTTTAGTTAATCTTATTTATTCTTAGTTGGTCACATGATCTTCATTTAAACATTATAAAATGTGAAAGTACAGGGTTGGTACACATGGAATAAAACTCCAATGACCAAAAAAAACATTCTTAAAAGTGAGCTCAATACCACGTAGACTTAATAATATTTATTCAAATTTATAACATATGAATGTTATATGATCAGTACAGAAGTTGCAATTTTGTTTCAACACTTATGGTGTATTTATTTATTTATATAAACTTACCTCATCAGATAACAGAGACATCTCTTTACCAGTTGATAGATTCCGTACAACCTGATTGACAAAGTTTTTCTTCACTTCTTCAGGTCCAAATATTCTCTTAAAAATATTCAGGATATAATTTTAGTTTTCTTTTTTTTAAAAAATGTTTTCACTAGAAAATTCATAAAACATAGGTCACTTGAAAATATAAAAAAAATGGATGCAATGAATTTAACATTTGTTTTAATTTAAAGTGTTCAATGTTTTTTTGTTGCTACACTCTTCATAATTATTCACATATTAAAAACACAGTATATATATATTTTGCATTTCTGACTTGTGGAGCTTTCTTATGATTTCTTCCTTCCATGGCATCTACAATCTTCAAAAATTTAAATGCAATATCAATCAACATCTACTGTATTTATGAATCTTGTTCTTTTATCATCCTTTCGCATCATTTGCGTCTTCTCATTCTCTTCTACTCCAAGTAACTCCTTGCATCTTAGTAACATTATTGGCTTACTCCGGATGAAATGATTTATATATATATATATATATATATATATATATATATATATATATATGTGTGTGTGTGTGTTTCATTAAATAATATAGACAAGTGTTGTCTATTTATTTTATGTAAATTCTTTTCATAACGTCTGATGAGCTTAATAACATTATCATTAAACAAAGAAAGAAAATCACAATATTGATCCATATTTTTTAATCCAATCTAAGCTTTCGCCTTACATAAGCCATTATCAAAGATGTCAATTAGTGTACAATATATTAAGCAATATATGGACAAGACAGTGATGATAGTCTGTGATTGTTTACATGGATGATTTCCAAGCAACGATAAACACATGCATATAAGGCATAAGAAGCGAAAATCACACCGCAGCTCATGACGTCTCACATGACCATGCGAGAGTGAATTCAAGAAGTATTAAGTATGGGAAGCCGTTGGTATAAACCAATGGTTTCTGTTACCAATTATAGACATTTAAGGATATTTCTAGAGATTCCCATACTTAATACTTCTCGAATTCACTATTTTCTTTTCCTCTCCCTCTCTCATCTTCTGATCTTTAAGATTATATCGTCTATTGTGTGTGTATGTCACCACAAAATGTATCCTTTCCGGTTGCATCTTTAATGTATTAGACATCCGAGAACATTCATATTTCTCTCACTTAAACCATCTTTGACACCCCTCTTTAAAACTTCTCTCTGTTAAATTTTAATCCCCCGCTTCATCTTTAGACCTTCCTGTGCTTCTCTTGTCTGTTACCCCTCTCTATAGCTTTCATTTACTCTAACATTTGTCCCAGACTCTCATACATACACTCACACTAAATTTTATTTTTTATTCCCAGAGTTGTTTTTTGTTTTCTTTTTGAATTTGTAAGTCTGATGAATTGGATCGTATTTACAATCCCAATGGAATAAATTATGACCATGGAATATTATTAGTGTTTAAGCCTTTTTATTATATATATAGATATATATATATATATTTTATGTTCTTCAAAACATATACAAAAATAATGCATGGAGAGAACAAAAAGGAAGAAACCAAATTGACTTATTTGTTGTAATAATTTGAACAAAAATATTCCAGGCACTTTTTCTATATTTAAAGCATCCAGGTAGGTCTGATAGATTCATTAAAAATGCATAAATCTGTTTGTTCAAAAAATAGCAAAATAAATTGAACATATATTCTGTTCAGTCAGTACAAATTTTCTGGTTTCTTGCTTCCCAATCAACTTTGATCTTCAAAAATTTAAATGCAATGCCAATCATTATCTATTGTTCTTTTATTTAATTGTTCTCTCTCCTTAATAATGATTTTTCTCATATTCTCTCACACTCATCAATCCCTTTCATCTCAGTGACTTTATTGCCTTGCTTTGGATGAAATGATTAAAAGAAATATATATGTATCTATATTCACAATATATCATGACATGAAAAATAACTCACCCTCCCACCCTCTGAGCTTACTTTTCTATTTACTGTAGATATGACATTTAATTGGTTAATCAAAACATTCCACAATTCAATTTTTAATTCTGACTTTATGTCCCCCCCCACCACTTAACTTTTGGAAAAGAGATAACACTTTGTTTTTTAAATTTCCTTAAAAATTATTTAATCCCCAGTTATTTACCATAGCCTGAAGAAGTACAATCAAAGTATTGAAATATAAAAAAATTTCTACAGCGATTTCAACATGTTTTTATTATAATCTCTTATAATAAAAATAATGATAATTTTATATATATATATATATTAATTATTTCATATGAGAGTTGAATGCAAATACAGTTTGGAGTCTTGATTCAAAGCAGTAAAAAGAAAGATGGTGGACATCCATAGAACAGTTGCATTTTGTGATATGATTAAGCATGGATACTGAGGGATGGAAGTTTGTAAATTAAAGGCCATATTGCTTCAAGAAAATATATGAATCCCCTAAAGGAATGCATCCAAAATGCTAATTTGGTGCACAACACCTGATACAAATTCACCATATGTGGAAGAAATTGCATTCTAAGATATAATTTAGTAAATAAAAAATTAAATCCAGCATATAAATGTACACAATTTATAAGAACGTAAAATTTAGACATTATAAAGTAAAAAGAAAACTTTTTTATCATTTCACCCCAAGCAAGGCAATAAAGTCAAGACTCAAGGGGTTACTGAGTGTGAGAGAATATGAGAAAAAGGAAACATTATTAACCCTTTGCTTGTCCACGCCATTTTCATATGTATTATACAAACATTCATGGTTTTCAAATTTATAACTATTGCAAGGCAACTCAACTTATTTGGCAAATATAGAATGTGCTCATATATATTGTTTCACATAATAAAAACCTGGGCATTACATGTGATCACAGAAAGTACAAATCATAAGTTATGTACATTATGCTTTGTGTATTACATGTGATGTGAAGGTTATAATCATTTCAATAAAGTGGAAAAATAGATATCTTTCATTTGAGACCTTACATTATCAGTCAAGTATCCTGTGGTCATATATGATGTGCAAAATATTAGATTAGGCCTTTACTTAGACATCCTGCTCAATAGGAGACTCTTTTTTTAAGCATCCTTAGTTTTACCACTCTTTTAAAATCATGGCTCGTGTGCACAGATGTGGAAATCACATGTCCTGTGCATCACATAAGATGCACAGGACAGGCAAAGGTTTAAAGAGGGAGAACAATAAAAGAACAGGAATCAAGAAGATAGAAGATAATGATTGACATTGCATTTAAATTATTGAAGATCAAAGCTAGCTGGAATTAAATAAGAAAAATATATGTGTGATTAGTTAGGTCTCCAAGGAGTGAGAAAAAGTGAAAATAGAAAAGGACATGTAGGTATAGAGTTGTAATGGAAGACATACAGAGATATATCATTTACATACTGAAGTCCGAATGATGAGAGATGTAGGAACCTCACAGAGAAGCGCTTTCTCAGACTTAACTTTGCTTAATCCATAGTAGTTGGGAGGATTTGTGGATGAATCTTCTCTAAGTCCAATATCCTTTTCTGCAATTCAATGAATGAATAAATAAAAATAACTTTATAATGATAAATCTGAGATCACGGGGAAACTTTCTTTCAGAATCAAAAATGAACAAAAGTTGTTGACCAGGTTCGATGTTGCTTAACTTCTGTGATATTATGGGAAGTGGTGTTTCAACATGCCTAGAGAAATTAGTTCATGATTACTTAACACAATTTTGAAAAATAATAAAATAGAGTGAAAAACACATTTGTTCATGTGGATATCTTTTCTGGCATCTCAGTTCAAAGGTCAAGTGAGTGATTATTGAATCAACTTTTCTGAGTTATATATGGTGAAAGCCCATTTAAAATTATGAATGTCTTAGAGCAGTATGAAAGACTAACAAAACCTGAAGTTATCCCCCTTCAAATCAATAAATCAACCATTCACCCTTGCATGGAATACTACTGCCATATATGGTCTGGAGCACCCGCTATTCATCTTAAGGTCCTCAACAAAATCCAGAGACGGATATGCAATGCGATTGACCCAGATCTCTCACAGATATTCCATCGCTTCCCTCCATCATTTCTACAAATACTTTCATGGTAACTGGTCTGACAAGCTACTTTCACTAGTTCCGAAACTAAATGTGTTACTAGGTTGGCATCTCAGTCCCACCCTTTCACTGTTGAAACAGTTAAATGTAGCTGTCTCTTCTACTCCAATAGCTTCATGTTTTGCACCTCCTGTCTGTGGAACTCCCTTTCTCTTACTTGCTTCCTTGTTAGCTATAATCTCCAACTATTCAAATGTAATGTCAATTGACATCTCCAGATGCCTTGACCTATTCCCTGTCCTTCTCTTCATCCTTACTTCCTTCATGGCTCTTTACTCTTGCTCCCACTGTCTGTAACCCTTTCCATGCTAGTGGCACTCCTGCCTTGCTTGGGGTGAAAAGCTTAAAAAAAACAAAAATCATCATATGACAGATAACACTTGAGAAATGATAATCAAGCTGTATTCATATATGCCAAAAATATCTGCAAAATTAAAAAAAAAAAAAAATCACTTCAGGGAATGTGAGACAGCCTGACAAAGATGCATACTCATATTTGGCCTACCCAGCACACCAGACGAGAAAATAGACATGTATATATAACCCTGCTCCCCATGGTTTACACCTGGTATCCCAATAGCATTTGATCAGACATCAGTTTATGTTTGGTTTCAGTGGCTGGAAGCAGCAGGGTCACAATTAATTTTTGTGATCAGGCTTTGGGTCTGTTTATAATTCTATTTATATTTATATCAAGGGACATTTTGATTGAAAAATTCTCAGGCTTGAAAATTGTCTCATTATTCAAGACTTAATCTTGAAAGGGTTAAGTTCTAACTTAACATGTTAGTTTTATGACCAAACTGATGTGTTAGTGAGTCTGCAGATGATGATATCATCATAGTATAACACCAATAAAGAAATAAGTTTGCATGAGATGATTGAACAGGCAATATGAGTGCAAATGGATCTTCTAATTTCTTTTTTTTAAATCCTAATGATAAGTAATTTGTCACAAATTTTTTATATTCGTTTTCAATCAATTCACTCCATTCAGAGAATGAGAAGTCTTTAGAAGGAAATGGAAATCCAGACCAAAACAAGGGATAAACATCTATTCCTGTTCAAAAGACCGGGGAGGAGTGTGAACTGGATGATAGGCAAACCTACTTACTCTAATGACTGCGAAAGAGTATAAAGCAAGATAAATTTAATTTTATTTTCTTTCATTTCAAAATCTTGGGCAGTTTTGTTCCAGAAGATATTTTGAATGAAATCATATTGTTCCAATATTCTTTTTTAAGCCTTAGTTTTGTAATGGTTATCATTTAACATTCAAGTTGTCTAAGATGTCAGTTTCATAATGAAATTGGTGTGTTAGCCAACTTGAAATATTACATGAGACACCTTAGAGCAATGCTTAGATCAATTTCACAGACCATAGTGAGTTTAATCCTTACTAAGAGCTCTACTATTACAGCCTTGTACTAGGCTAAACTACGCTTAGCAAATATCAATAAAGTTATCAGAAATCTACTTTTGTAAGTCATTGTCAATGATCAATCTTTCTAGATATTGTACTACTGTGTTTTTGTATCAGATGCAGTTAAGATGAGTAGATATTTTCAAAGTATTTTTTAAAATTAAGATTAGATAGTAAATTAATGAAAATAATTCAAATATACTTACCAGTTGTGTTTATGTAATTTGGAAAATTTTCTGGATTTGGAGAATTGAACACATAGTCAGAGGAGAAATTTACAATTTTTATATTACGTTCTTTTCCAAGTTTTCCAATGTGTGCTACTGCCTCACAATTGACTGTATTTGTCTGTGAAGACAAAAATATGAACAGATTTTGTTTAAATAATTTCAAATTGGGAAAGAATAATAACCTAATTCTCTTATTTTGAAAAATAAAGTACTATCATATAGCCATATCAAATTTGAAAAAAGTTTGTAAGACAATATTTAGATTAGTGTTTTCAAATGCCTTACAATGTTTGTGTGATGTATGTGGAGTATTTCTGCAATATCCTGTGCCATGTGACCTGGATTCATTTTTATTGGCATTTTGATTTTTTTTATCATCAACAACTTGAACATTATCAGATTTCCAGATCAAAATATTAACATCTGAATCTGGCAAACCATTTACAACCAATATTCTCATCAATTGTGAAAAAAAGGGAAAACAAAATTATTAATGCATATTTTTGTGTGTTTGGTTAAAAGAGGTTGGAGAGAATAAAGATCAAGTGACAACAAGGCATCCCATAAAAAAATTGATGAGAGATACCCAGTAAGATATAAAACCAAAACAATTTTATTAAAATAAAATTTTACTAAATATTAGGGAAGCACAAATTTGGTGATTTGTGCATCCAGAAAAGGGGATAATAAAATTCTGGATAAGTCACTTATTTTTTTCTAAAATAAGGCCCAATGGTAGTTGTAGCAAAGAGATCAAGTTTACAATCAAAATCAATCAATATGAAATATAACAAGAAAAATGCTGTCAGATACAAAACAATGCAAATTACAAGAAGGTACAATGAAAGGGTTTCAGTGAGGTCGAACCCAGTTAAAATGGTATATTTATCTTGAAGGTATAAAATATGAATGTTAATAGTTTCTGTAATTTGATGTAAGTTGTTGAAGTTCATGATGGAATCCATTCGTGCCTTCTGAGTCTTCAACGTAGAATGTTGTTTTGAGAACAATACTTGTTCTCTATTGTGGAAACGACTGTTTTGTTACAGTTGTTAGGGTGAAAATAAGACTTAATTCTGTCATGAAAATGACAATTTGATTGTCAAGACCATTGATGAGTAGGTTTTGTGGCTGCTTCTTTGAGTCTACACTTGGTCAGGTTTTCAGATGTTTTGGAAGGTGTTGCATCTCTCACTCCCCTTGAAGGTTGTATTGCAGGGGGTTTTATAGCCAAAAGGTTGGCTCTGATTTACCTGAAAAACTTTGATGGTCAACTCAAGAAGTTCAGATTTGAGCCGGCTCAAATAGCCATTAGTTAAAAAATCATGTTTATCAAAGCAATTTATTGTAGTACAAAAAAACACTTGTTTTTCTTTCCCTTCCTCTCATCTTCAATTGACCCCATTCCATTTCTTGGCCAAGGAGTTTTGCATGCAGGATGGCAAGGTACAGGTAATTATTTTATTACCATTATCCTTTCCCCACAATTACTGAGAGCCAAAATTTGTTCAGAGTGAAAAAAATAATTTTTAACATTCTTTCCTCATAAGAAAGATGCATCAAACTTATATTAAAGTTTTGATTCAAAACACAAAAAGTTGTGAACAAAATTGAGTATTGATAAGATTTAATGTTGGTTAATATAGTTTTTGTTTTAAATGCTTTGACAGTGTTTATCATCAACAAAGAATATATGTGGCTCCTACTGATATCAAAATTGAAGAGAATTTTTTTTATAACCTGTTAACAGTTAAATGGCATTGGCACTTATTATATTAAACAAATTAATTTTTCACATTATCGCACAATCTCCATAAATGGCATATATATCTTTCACTCTCTGTACAGCAGTTTTTTCATTTCCAGGAATAAAAAAAAGCATCAAAGGATGAAAAGGCAACTCATTTTCCTCCATTTTCAGTTTTAATGCAAAAACATTTAAAATTAGCAATCCACACACAAATCACATAGAAAGGCACATTGAAAGGTCACCTTTCAGAATGTGTACGTATGTCATAAATTTCAGTCATATGTGAAATGCAATTTTTGGTATTCTGCCATTGAGGTAAATAATGTTAGACACTGTAATTAGTTGAATCATATGATTGTTAATCTTCTTGACTAATATATTCCCAAAACTGGAAGCTGCAGTAATTTACTTCCATTATTTCAGAACTGATTTCTGATAAAATCTGAAACTAAATCACTCTCATCTTCTTTAGCCTATATGTATTTATAACGACCTGTTTTATTTACAATAAATAGATGTAACAGCCTTGCATGCTGTTCTGTTGCATAAGAAGGAATAAGCGCTTGGGATATGTTATTAGAAAACTATTCTATTCAAAATTATATAGCTATTTAAAGGGAGATAATAGATTTCTAATTTTCAGATAAGGGAGGTAACCACTATTTCTTCAAAATATTTATTTAAAAACAATAATATTAATAATTCTACAAAAAATAATAATATTTTGCATATAGGAAATGCCAAATGCTTTTTAATGAGTTTAAAAACAACTTCACTTTAGTACTTTCTTCATCCAAAAGAGGCTTCTTATATCATGCAGTATAATTATATACAAAAATTAAAGTAATAAGTAATGTGTCCTACTATCTTGTCGTCCCATGGTGACCAGAGGTACTTCTCAGCCTTGCCTCCTTGTGTTTTCTCGTTAGTGTAATTCTTTTCTTGATGTTAGCATACTTAAGTCCAATTTCGTGTAGCTTTCTTTGTACAGTTCGAACACTGACGTCAAGTTCACACTTCTCCTTTACTTCCTTCGCTGTCACCTTTTATCCAGATGATGATAATGTAGCAGCATTGACGATAAATCAACCCGCACATTTTTTACTTTACGAATGTGTAAACAAACAAGAGAAAGAACACAAGAAAATAACTTTTCATAACAGGTACAATATTTATATTTATAAATGACAACAGTTAGAATAATTTTTTTAAAAACTCAGATTTAAAAATTATGTCATTTATGGTCATCAGTAGTAGTTGTCATCGGCTCGTCAATCAATCATTATCAATGAGATCGAACAGATGAACGGGACCGCTCGTTAATAATTGGTTGTATATTATTTTTTTATGCTATAAGTAACAAAGATTTCTTTGAAATCAGATTATTTTTTAACTTTAAATTTTTTTTAATTTTACTAAAATAACGTGTCAGAATTTTTTTTAAATATTTTAAAATCGATAAATTTGTGTTTGTTTCAAATTTCTTAAAATTAAGAAAAATGGCTGTTTTTAAGAAAATTAAAAATTTGAAATTAAATTTTGACAATCAAATCAAATGTATATAGTTTCTATCTGAAATACACCAGAATTGTTTAATTAATAGAAATCGTAGAAATTTAGTTATTAAATTTTCAATTAAAGCTAAATGAAATCTTCAAGAATGTTTTTTCATTGTAAAAATTTCATTTTAAACTTAGGTATCGAAAATTTATGCCGAAATAGTGGAGGTACTTAAGTTAAGGTTTCAGAAACATGTATGAAGCTGTGTAATTTTTTGAAAATCGACATTGATGAAAAGTCTTAGCGGAAAGCTAAAATAACAAACTCGTAACACGCCTCTTCATTCTTCTTTCTGTTCTCTTGGAAATTGTTTTTTTTGTCTCTTCTTCTTCTTCTTCCGCACATAATTTTTGTATTCAACTGTTGACTTCGGTAGCTTCATCTCAGCGGCGATCTTTCGGATGCTGAGCCTCTTCTCTTTTTTGGACCAAACTGATGACTTCTTTTGAATGCATTCTTCTTCAGGATTTTAATACGTTTTCGCAGTGAATGATAAAGATACTCAATTGTACAATGCAGAAAATTTGCATATTGTAGACGTTAAAAACCCGGAATTTGTGTCATGTCCGAAAAATAGTGTCGAGTTGAAGTAAAATAAAGAAAACATGAAACCAAAGACAAACCCATCAATCAATGGTCATGAGTTACCTGCTCATCAACACAAAAGCTCGTTTTCAAAAACTTTCAAAGTGTCCCAAAAAATTGTGTCGGCCCCTGTAATTTTTTCGATTAAACCTGCTGCCAGCAACTCTACATACTTAGCAGTCTTAAGCAAGTGGATCATGTATTCAACTTTGGAAGAAATTAAAAAAAGGACAAAACATAGAGAACTCAGGGATAGGGGTCGGTGTATTCATTTCGGTTCGTCCTGAAGGTTCTCTTCATAAAAAAGAACCAAATGTTTTTCAAATTATTTATCTATATAAAGGGAGTTAATCGCTGTCTACTTTCTGATAAGGGAGTTAACCACTATTTCTTTACGCTGAAAGATAATGTACATTGTACATATTTATTTTTCAGGGCAAATTGCACAAAAAATAAATATAGTAAAATTAATAATAATTATGTATGACATGTTGGTGATAAAAAGCTGAACATTCCTGCTAATAAACCATAATTTTTTGTCTTGCAATAATCAAAATGATTGTCAATGTGGAAAAAACATGCCAGACTGCAAAGCCAGTTTTTAATTAGAACTCCTAGAGTCAAGACATGCCTGCCCACACCAGCTGCCATGTAGGTGGAGAAGAAGACACAGGTAAATGGTCCACAGCAGTAGGGTTAACAGAGCAACATACGTGGTGTCACCAGAAACAAAGGAAAGGACACCACAAGCCTGGGAAATATTACAAGTAAGATGTTCTTGCTTTTTGTCCTTTTCACACTGCTTGTTGTATATATATGTTATAGTTTCTCTGTGAAGGACAAATGTATGATAAGTATGTTTATATATCAATATAAAAAATCTCTTTGAGAACAATTTATGTTTGTCATTGCATTCTTTCAGCTATTCTGTTCCATTTGTTTATTAAGCTGTTGCTATGTCATGGATATAATACTGCCTACAATGGGAAAATGAAAACTGGAAATATTCAGTCTTAAGCAAGTGGATGACCAGGCATTTTTTTTGATAAAAAACAAAAAAAAACTGAGGAAAACATCAAGAGGTCTGAGTCTTGCTCCATTTTACAGGCCAATGGTTATTGATTTTCAGGATTTAGCCAATAAAATGTTGTCTACCACACCAACAACACCCAAGAAGATAAACCTTCCAAAATGAATTTCAGAAATATTTTATTATGCCGTTTGCGATCAAAATTAAGGAGAATATTTTTGATTGAATTTAGCCTGTTTGAGTTAAATTTTACTGCTTAAATGATATTTTTTCGAAATTAAAATACAAGAAAAACATAAGTTGATGTTATTCGGGCGTAGTGGCAAATATATTATTTCTTTCTTTCACAAATTTTTTTTCTAATCAAATGAAACCTAAAAAGGCAAAACGCATTATAAAATCTAATTTCAATGAAACAAAAACAAAGCCTCTAGAAAACTTTATTGGGGGGTATCCTAAACCATACACACACACACACACACACCCACACACACAAATATATATATATAATAATATATATAATATATATATATAGATAATGTGGTATAATATGAACATACACATCCACACATTATAGAGTACGAAAATCACTTTGAGGACAATTTATATTTGCAATTTTTCTTTCAGCTATTCGCATTGAATATAATTGCCTATAATCTAAACTGGGAATACTGTTTGGGCATTAGCACCTATTTGAAAGTTTTTTTTTAAGAAGAAAAAAATGGTCCACGCTTGAACTATATCAAGTGAAAGTATGCAACATTGTGGTCACTAAATGTCAGCTGTTGACATAATCTGGGACACCAAAAAATGGAAAATGGAATCAAAAGTAAATATTTTCAAATATAATTTTTTATTTTTTCCACATAAGCTCTATCAATATTAAGGCACTTCTGTAAACTGATAAAACCATTGGAAGAACAAGTCCAATGATAAGCTATTTTTTTTATATCAATTAAAAACTTGAAAATGAGAATTTAAAATTTTTGTTTGTGATTTGAATTATGATTTTTTCAATAATTCTCAGTCCAGCAGTTTCATTGTCTCAATGGATGTGTGGATCCACTTACTGTTTGGGCAATTATATAAAATGCCTTGGCTATGCTAAATAGGCTTTCATTGAAGAAAATAAAAAAAGTTTGATGCTAAAAACAAATGGATGTCTAATCAAAATTTGTACAATTTTCCCCTTGTTTGTTGAGAGAAAAGTGCAGATTTTCAATGGAAAACATTCTTGATGAAGCTTTAACAACTACATTTGTAAATTCTTAGCTTATTTTAAAATAACAACTTGTTACTGATTATTTCCATTCCCTCTACAAAGTCAGGTAGCAAAATGCCTTCATTATTCCAGAAAGCTGTCATCATAACCTTGTTTCCTGATGAGCTTGCTTTTGCTTCGACTGGATTTGTTCCCTTTTTGGTAGTCATTACCTTGACTGTGCTTTGTCTCCATGATTCTACTTGGAAGGCTAAGTTCTATCTACTGTTAAAATTCACCTGAGAAAGCCTTTAAGATTTAGATACCATTTCTTTAAAATTTCCATTGAAAGCTCTGCACTGCTCTATTACTGATAGTTTTTGGTGTCTATGAAAAAGAATATTTTCTCAACTTTACCTTTCAAATAAAATTGTGACATGTCTAAAGTGTTAGCTGTTAATTCCTCACTTAATTGTTGGTTGTCCTCAAGAAATCTTGAATTTTTTTTCATCTGACAAACTGATGTTGATGGAATGCTGATCTGTTCATCATCATCAACTCTGCCTTGTCCTTCTTTGAAATGAATTATGTATTTTAAATTGTTTTTTTTTTTTTTTAGGGAATTATATCCATAAAGAATTTCCAAAGAAATTATTAGCATCAAAATAAAGTTCCTATAAGTGTTCTTATCTGTCTACCATTGCTTATCTATCATTTAAAACTTACAAAACTGAGAGTAAAGTAGTTTTTTTTTTCCATGTAATTCAAAAGAGGAAATCCAGTTTCTGTTAACTTAACAATCAAATCAAGAGACTTAATTCTGAGCACATTTTATAGAAAAAAGCATTGTTAGCAGAATACAATAAAATAATGCTTTTTTGCATTTCATTTGAATTCCACTCAATGTATTATTTTTTTCTATACTTTCAAAGGAACTAAAACATTATCAAATTTTATACTAAAAACTTATATAAAAATTATATTGAACGAAGTTACAATATGTTAGGTCAACGAAAATATTTAAGAAAAGTTATCCCCCTTTAACCGGACGGATGACAAATAATGCTTTTTGTAACATCCTCTTTTTGGAAGGACAGAGCATTCTGGGTACGGGGGAGTTCGGACATGACACGAAGGTATGCTACACAGATCTTCGAGGCCCACATCTTATCATTATGCATCCAGTGGCTACACTCATCATCCAAACTGTATTTTCATTTAATAAAGTTTGTTCATAGTTTATCCTTTCATTCCATCTTCTTACCTTTCTTCAACCCCACCATGGAAACATATCACAATATGCACTTCTCTTTAAAAAATGTACTCACCTTCTCTGTTTGTGATTCACAAAGATTGGCATTTGTAAAGGCAGCAGCAATAATGATTACATGAGGGGAACAAGCATCAAGTAGCAATTTCATTTTCAATGGGTCCCTAGAATGAAGGATAAATAAAAGAGCTCAGAAAATAAAATTTAAATGCAACACCATTGAAAAAAAAGAATAGCAAACTGAGTCATGAAAATAAAAATTTCTAGTTGATTTATTTCAAACTGAATAACAAAACATTTTGATAATTTTTTAATACACCATTAGAAGGATATTTTAAAGCTATTGCTTTATTTTTTTCCATCCTAAGATATTATTGCAGCACCAGACATCCTACCTGAGTCCACAAACAATGTTAAAAAAAAATGCGTGAATGATTGAGAGGAAGGGGCAACAAGTGCATAAAAACAGCTGGAATAAAATGACAAAGGCGTCTGAATGCAAAACTTGTGATCAGGGAAAAGTTCAGCGCCAAAATAGGATAGCAAGATGAATAAGTTTCAAAAGGTTCTGAATAGGCAAGGTGCATTTAGAAAGGATAAGGTCTTGATAATTTGTTTTTTTTTTTTTTTTTTTTTTGTTCATGTTCAAAGTAGAGAGAAAAGAGTTTGGTCAGGTCTTGAATTAACTAACGGATTTATGGACGCACAGCCAAAAGGATGTTTTGGCGAGTCCAGAAGGGACGAAAGAAAGTTTAATGTTCGTCAGTAAGATTCCCTGTCTGTATTTAGGTTTTTAGGGAAATTTTGCCCACGAATTCTGGTCGAAAACAGAGAAGGTCTGATTTCTTAATAAAAGATATCAAAAAGCTGTATAGCAATGAGGAGGTTCAGATACAAAAATCATGTTGGAATTCCAAAAGTCATAAATCAATCTCATAATTCCAACATCAGAAAATGTCATGGGTGAAAGGAAGGGAGGAAAACTTCGCAGCCACAAAATGTAGATGGAATTAAATCATAATAAAAAAAGCTGTATATCAATGAGGAGGTTCCACATCTAAACAACTCCAACAACACACAAATCAAACCTTCTTTGCCCAATTTGCCCACAAAGAGCCAAGAGTCTCTTCTGTCATCTAAAGTAGCCTTCTTTTTATTGGGGTAACAAAGGTTCTAATTGTTTGAGATGGGTAGGGAAGCAAAAACAATTACCAAATTTAAAGACTTTCTAAAGTCAACTCAAATTTGATTCTGATTTTCTTTTTTTCAACAGATAACACAGAGAACATGAAATCTTTTTCAAGGTAAGTTTTGGTTTTCTCCTTCTTCACCATAAAAACATAACCCTTTTTTGCTTATTCTGATTTGTTTCAAACTGAATAACCCAAGCATTATAAGGTCTTCATAATTTTTATGGTAATAATAATATAATTAGATTTATGTAGAGATGTTTTTTAAACATATTACTTTACTATTTAAGGGTGTCATTTATTTCATCTTGGAAGCTATCAATTTAAAAATATAGTGGAAGTCAATTCATGACTAAATAAGACCACCTTTCAGAGTGATAACTCCCAAGCAAACATTTTAAGAATAATGTCTTAAATGGCTCATAAGTTCTGCAAGCCTTTATACATTGGGTCTTGCTGGGTATCATATTGGTAGATGGAGATGTTTCTGAGTGAGTCTATGTTCGTGGTTGAGAAGGCCTGTTCACAAGAATATATATATATATATATATATATATATATGTATAATTATTTATTTAAAAATTATAACATAAATATGTTATAAAATCAGTACAAAAATAGCCATTTTGTTTCAACACCTCTGGTGTCTTATCAAGTGATGATGTTGAATGTAAAATAAATAAATATATATACACACACACATATCTTTGATTTTCATATATAAGTAACTGATAGGACATTGAAATGAAGGAAAATATAAGAAGAGACATAGAATATTTTGGTAGAAAAGTATAATCACTGAGGACCAATACAGAATGAATTTTTTCTTAATAGCTTACTTATAAAATCTCCCACTAACCCTGGTACTATGGCTGGCACAATTTCATAATTATTCCCTCCATCCCAATCTTATGGATTCTGTTTCTGTAGACATACTGAGATTTGCTTAAAGTAGATGTGGTACCAATAACAAAATCTGAATAGCTTTCTGTATCTATTTTGTACAATAAACAAATATTAGATTTGTATCAGACAGAGCAAAGATTAGTAAATATCACCCACCCACATCATACACAGGAGAAAAGAAAACAGCACTTACATTGCATCTGATTCCAAATCAAATGAAAGTCGTTGAGGCTTTTTCAAATTATGTGTGGTTCCAATAACAATAAACTCTGGATAGTTTTTCGTAATAGTGTGAAAAAACATGGAGCCAACTGAAGCAAAAAATTTATCATATAAATTATCAAATCTATTTAACAATTCACTTTCTCTCAAATTCAGAGAAGTTAATGTCTTTGTCGGAGTTACCTCCTCCTTAATTTCTTAATTTTTTAAACCACTACTTGGGGACGCTCTTCGTATACTATATAAACTCAGCAATACCTTGCCTTCTTCTCTTTCTTCTAACTTTTCAGCTGATATGACAAGATGTATCCATCATGAAGATTTGTGTTTTCCTCTTGGGAGGGGGGCGCTATGTGTTTCCTTCGGGAAAAATGCATGAACATTTCACACACATGTACATACGAACATTCACATTCACTTACTCATATTTTGACCATAAACTTTCTACGTTCATTCATACGCACTAATTATCATCTTTATCAATTATAACCTTTATTGTATGTCAATACACATATTCCAGTTTGTACATATATATATATATATATATATATATATATATATATATATATATATTTGTTGTTTTCTTCACATTTCCTTTCACATTTCTTTAGGTGGACTTGTACATACTCTGAGTCTGCCATGTTTGTAGTGGGCTATTTCAGGAGATGCATGTGTTTGTCCCACAATGCGTACAAATGGCCTACTACAGTCTTCACTCAAAGTCATCTATGTTTTATAGATCCTTAGGCACCAAAATGTTTCTTAGACTAAAAACAAATTGTAATTTAAGAACAATTCAATGTTGATAGAGAAAAAAGAATTATATACTAAAAAAATATTGATAAATTTCTGTTTATTCAAAATTAAATATTATTTTTATTTTGAAACAAAGAACAACAAGCCATAAAAATGACTTCCTTTTGCTATCTTGTTTTTTAATATATCATCTTGTGAAAATATAGTTTTTGTGGATCTGTGGATTTTCTTTTAATCTAGCAAGATCTTTGAATTATAAACACTGGAAAAAGAATCAAGGGAACTGTATTGTTATGGTGACCTATCAACATTAGAATGAACTCTTCTTCCTTCATAAGTACTAACCTGCGAGACTTCCTAAAGAGGCAGTCGGGATGCAGTCTCCAACTGTGTGCGACTTCTGTCGAACACTCTGCTTTAGCAGAGAGTAACCCAGACGAGGCTTTGCCGAAGGGCAAAGTTTCGTCCGGGGAGGTAAACAGATCCCGAACTCGCTCAAGGGAATATTTTTGGCTGAGCCTACGGGCTCTGAGAGACCCACGTTAAACTCGGCCTTCTGCCACATACATTCCTTGTAGGGGAACTGTTAAATATCGGCAGTCGACACACAGTCTCTGACTGTCTGCAACTTCTGTCGAACTCTCTGCTTTGGCAGAGAGCAACCTGGACAAGGCTTTGCCAAAGGGCAAAGTTTTGTCCGGGGAGGTAGACAGATCCTGAACCGGTTTATGCAGGTTCTAAGGGAATATTTTTGTCCGAGCCTATGGGGACTGTTAAATATTGGCAGTCGGGACACAGTGTAACCTAATGGTTCAAACAGACACTTCTATCTGCTGACTAATAACACTCTTATTTTGTATATATATTCTGTTATTTCAATACACTTGTTTAACCTACCTTCTTTTTTCCGTGTCTTTATTTCTGGCCTCGGGTCAGGGTGGACCTGGGAACATCAGCAATTAAGAGGTGGTTCCATGCTCCTCAAAACCTCCTGATGAGAGGCCTTGCTGTTGGATGCAGTTTAACGTCATACCCAGGACGTTTTATTTTATAGAAGGGCAATCATCAATATAGCTTAGTACACACCACATATAAATTACACCACTTTGGTCACTTCAATGTGGCGTAATGGTTAGCAAGCTTGTTTTGTGTGATCAATTAAGACTGAGTAATGAGTTCGATCTTCACTGGGTGCTCCTTTCTTTTAGCCTTGTGCCACATCTAATCTATGTTTAGTAAATAAAAACACACTGATTTTCTTCAAGATGGTAATATAGCAGGTTTCAGAGTTGGTTAGACATGAGTAATTGTCATCTGGTAATCCTGAATTCAATCCCTGGAGCAGGTAGTGAGATATTGATTCAGCAGAAACAAACAATAATTGGCCTCACATGGACAAAATAACATAATAAACAACAGATATTCCATGTCAGTCAAAAAATGGTCACCTGATGATGGTCAGAGAGTATTTGGCTAAAATGATATGTTTATAATAATATCTATAATAGCTAAGATGAGGACAATAGTCTGAAATAAGCAAAGTATATTAACAATCACTCATCTCAAAAATTAAATAAAATTATTTTAATTATGATTTATGTTTCTTTGGAATTAACAGTATACAGCTTTCTAAAACTGACTGGCTAAGTTTCATTTGATGACAAAATGATTCTATGAAATTATATCAAAAGTTTTTATGTTTGAAAAGCAAATGATACTTTGGTTGATGCAAAAAATAAATTAAAAAGAATTACTTCAATGATGATAAAATAACAAAAAATGATTTTGTTTTTTACCTTGCCCAGTGGAACCAATAATCAGGATTCTTTTTCGGTGTGGAATAATTCTCTTATCAGCTAAATTCAGGTATTCCACCATCTTATCTTTGTTTGAAATGAGAACGTTTTCTTTTGGATTTTCAATAGGCCATGCAATTGATAAGATTGGGTCGAATACTGATGCAGATTGCTGAGGAACAGATTTATCAAAAAAATCACCCTAAAAAAAAACCCAAATCAATGGAACACCAATTAAACAATAGGCTAACACTGTCAAACATTTAATGATGAAATAGCAGAAACATTTAGCCTAAGAATTATCATGTCTCAGAATAACTGGCAAGTTTTGGAGATGGACTTAGATTCATGCAAATATACTGTTTGTCTTGTGTTTATACAGCTTATGAATTTTAAAGGCAAGAGAAACAAAAGGAAACAGTGACTAGCCTAAGAAACAAACATGTGGAAATGGATCAGGGTGTGGGAAGAACAGTAAAAGAAAGCAAAATCTGTTAATAGCTATAAAGGATAGGAAGTTGTGGAGATCCATGATTACCCATATTCTTATGAAGGGAGATGGCACATAAAAACCTATTGTTTAGTAGTTAATCTTTTTCCTTCCTCTACCCAGAAGAAAACTTTTGGTTCATATAAAATGGTATTTAATTGTACCATCAAAAAAATGCATACAGGAAGGGAAATTCTTCAGTAGTCAAGGTTGCTTCTGTTCATCAGTTGAATTAATTCATCACTTAGGCTGTCACCTTTGACTTGCAATTAAAAGAAGAAGAAAATTATAAAGATGTATCGAAAGATTTACTGTCAGGGATGAACTTGTTGTTGTGAAGATGTCTCCAATTTTTCCAAGACATTCAGAACTGAATACTTTAGAGTCTGTGAATATCTATAAAAATATACCTTTAATGATAATTATGTTAGATCATAGGGATGTCATCTTAAGTAAATTCACATTTAATTATAAAAAGAAAAAGGGATTATTCAAGAACATAAGATAAAATAATAGCAGTCTCAGGGTAAAAAAAACATCCTTTTGACATTCTGTTTTGTTTGTTTTATGGGCATGATTTTGTGAACATTGTTTGAAAATAATTATTTGAAAACAAGCATTTGAAAAACATTTATTTGGATTGTGAACTATTTAAATGAAAATTAATCGAAAGGACAATTATACTCAATAATTATTCGAAACACAAAATTCTTTATTATAATAAAAATATAAAAATTTAAAGAGGAAATATAGAAATAATAATTATTTGAAATACAAATATCATTAATAAAACAATTTAGTAAAAAAAAAATCAGCATTGACTCTCTTAAAGCAAGACCTCATATATATTTCAAACATAGGTATTTGGAATAGTTATCATTTAGTATAATTGTCCTTTTGATTAATTTTCATTCAAACAATGTATGATTCAAATTTTTTTGAATAATTGTTTTTGGTTAATTATTTTTGAACAATTTTCTTGATACAATAGGAATGAAGGTTCAAGATTTCCAAATCTTTAATACAAATTAAAGCTGTTTTTCAAGAAAACAGGTTTCTTAATCCAATAAGTGTTTTCAATATTTTTTATATTCATTGGAGTTTCCTTCTTAACTTTTCATTTAAGGTAGTGTGCAAAGTGAACATTTTGATTATATCGTTATTTTCCTTTCTAGTTACAGGTACTAGCCATTGATTTAATAATATTTTTACATTTTTTCCATGCTAACCCCTTTTGGTTTTGAAAAGCTTACCTGAAAATAAACAACAGCAGCATCTTCCTCCAAAGCAAGATAACCATGGCCACAGTGAGGAGGAATTAATATTTGCAGGCCATTGGTAGATGTTAGATGAACAGCTGCCCACTGGAGATAGCTTGGAGAATCTGGACGCATATCCACAACCACATCATATACTGATCCTTGCACACAAGTTAACAATTTTGCATATGGAGAAATATGAATTCCACGAACAGAATTCTGAAAGGGAAATATTAAAAGAAAAATTTTAAAGTAGTTTAAAGCATAGTGAGATTAATACATTTAGAATAAACTTGTCTTATAAATAGAATAATGCGTAATAAAAAGAGATGGGTTGTGTCCCCACTAGTTAGAGGAGAGTAGATCCCTGGAGAGGCTTGATGGAAGTCAGTTTATTGTATTCTTAGATTACCATTATCATTTATAGGAATCAGTGTCCACAGAAGTAACATTCCAAGTCCATCAAGCCATCATTGAAGACGAGATGACCACTCCCATAAATATATATATATATATATATATATATATATATATATATATATATATATATATATATATATATATATATTGTATAGTTGTATATTTAGGCAGCAATCCTCCATTTATGCATGTTTCATTAAAAACTACAAACAAGCTCAGATGCAAGCCTTACATTACATCTATATGATCTTAGCTCCATTAGAACCCATTTAAACACGCACACAAACTTACCAGACTCCATTAGAAACATACTAGTAGAAAACACAAATATAATAACTTCATCCACCTGTAAAAAAAAATATTAATGATAATGGAAGCTTTAATAATAAAAAAAGAAAAAGCTAACTCTTAACAATATTAACTACAACAAGGTCACAATGTGCTAATCGTATTTGGAAATTAAAAATCATCTCTATAACACACTAAAACATACACATAATGCACACACTCAATTAAGCTGAAAAATTGAATCATCCTTGATAATGGCTAAAAGTATAGCTGAAAGTGCTCAGAACTATAAAATATTTGGACAATTTTTATACACTCTTTGTCCAGAAAAGAAAGCTCTTGTTCGAACACAAGAAAAATTAAATAAAAAGCTTTACTGTAGTACCTTGTCTGTCATTTTTAAAGAAATATGCATATATATATATATATATGTACGTGTGTGTGTATATATATATATATATATATATATATATATATATATATATATATGTGTGTGTGTGTCTGTGTGTAGTTAATGGCTGGTTGTGAGAGTAGCTAACTCACTTCTGCAGATGCCTACTAAGGCATATGTGTGATTCTTCAACACTTACAAAGTCAATGCTTTATGCCACAACTCTGCTGAGTGAGCCTTATTTACAGTTTCTGGGAAAGAGCATATAATCTGGTATGATGATCAGTTTGAAAAAGCCCAGTAACACTCAAACTCTTGGCCACAATGACTTGTGAGTTTACACAAGCACAAATAACAACAGCTTCCAAACAGTTATGTTCTCCCACTTTCACTCTTGAGTTAACACATTCCAAAATACAATGGAATCCACATAGAGAGGTTAGAGTATAAAAAAAACAAAAAAAAAGAAACAATGACAAAATTGGTCTCAATGAGGAAAATTTAAAAGCCTTTATTTAATTGTGTCTTATTTAGTTTTTAATTCTGAATGCAAGTCACTACAAATATAAAAAGAACTTTCTGCAATGATCTTTCATTCCATGAAGATAAGGAACACTAAATCTTCTTTAATTTATATTTGTTTTCCTTTAAATCTCTATAGAAAGCTACAATGACAAGCAAAAGAAAATTTTGAATAGATACAAATAAAATTACTTTTATTTATCTATAATAAGGACACAGAAATAATATCTTGAGTATATAAAATAAAAATGCCCAACCTTATGATTAGCTGACCATGTGATCTGTTGAACAGAAAAATATTTGGTGATAACTTCAGGGTATGATGCTGAATTGAACAACTCTGTAAGATGTCCTCTATGATCCCAATGCTGTTTGATGTTTACAATGTACGCATCTTTGATGTGAAGTGGAATAAGGTCCATATTTCTTTATTATCTAACAAAAAGCAAAAAAGAATTCCTTTTAGAAATTCAAAGAAACAATAAAGCAACTTGTTTTTATAAAACTCTCTTCCAAATTTTTTAGTTAAAAAATAAACTTTGAATCAAATTATTTCATTTAAATTTTTTTCCATCAATATTATTTCTGGTTGGGAAGAGGACATGTTTACAAAGTTGAAAATTAACAGAGGATGGAAAACTGAAGGATAGGGTAGTTAACATGGATGGAAACTGTGGAACAATGAAATCTGAAAGGCATATTGGGATAGTATAAAGATGACTTCTCAAAGATGAAAGACTTGAACAAATGTGGTTCTATAGAAAACATAAAAATATTGAACACATGAGCAATGGTGAAGTACAATGGTAACAAAAAGAATATTTATACTTAACATCAGGAATAGGTAGTTGAAATTTCTGAGAAAAACATTATGCTTACAAGATAAATTGAAAGTAAGAGAGACAGAGGAAAGCCATGCATAATGTACCTGGCAAGCTTAAATGAATGGATGATGGAGCAAGGTTTTGAAAGATGGCAAAAAGACAAAAGTTATTAAGAGCCACAAAGGACAGGATATTGTGGAGAATTATGATCACCAATGACCTGAAGGGATATAGCACATAAAAGAAGATCACACTAACAATTACATATCAATACCTTATGATAAATATATATGTATTCCTAGATATTAGGTTGAGCCATAAGTAATTTCCTTTTTGGAAAACCAATTGTATTGACAAATGTATCTAACAGTTTCTTAAATATATCATAATTGATGAAAAAGGAGATACTTTTCAAAATTGAACAGTGAATTGACAGGGATAACTCTACACAACTGATTTCAAATGCTGAACTCCATAAAGGTAATTTTTACATGTTGTGGAATCATTGGAGTATTATTAATTTAGAGCACAATGAAACCATTTAAAGCACATTTATATATTCAGCAGCTGCAACATGTCCATAATTTTTTTTTAAATGTATCCTGTGCTCATCAATAGGGACAATTCTCTTCTTCTCCATGACAATACAATGTGGCATACGGCAAGAATAACACAGGAACACATTTTGCAATTCATTTAGTCTGTTCTACCTACCATGTCAATCATTTTTACCTAACCTTACACCAAATGATTACCTTTTTTTGATCACTGCAAAAGACTTTCATAGGGAAAACTTTCTCCAATAAGAACCAGATTCTAGAATTTGTCAAAACCTTTTTCACATCAAAACCGGCAATGTTTTACTCAAAAGCTGCCTGATAAGTGGCA